TTTATTCAACCCTCGAGTAACACTTATTAAATATTCTAGTTCGTATTTGGAATTCATCATATATTCGCGTAGATCACCATCTTTTGCATAATCCAGCACTATCGAGTATTCATTCGTAGCTGGGTTTTTAGTTATTCCATAATAATTTATTACATAACCCCAACTGCATTTTAGAGCAGTTTGAATCTAATTTTGAAAAAGTTAATTAAATTGAAACAAAAAAGCAATATTAAAAGGTGTTTATTTTACCTCGTTTATAAACTCGGGTGTAATTTGCTTTGAATTGTATAATATTTTCAACACAACTTTGCATTCTCCGTATCGTTTAAACTTATTTTCTTCATGACCCCATCTCCCATGTATATCTATTGCTCCATCCAACCAGGTTGCTTTATAAATTGATCAAAAACCTCCTTTTGCAAGATATTCAACATTGGTAAATCTTCCAAAAAGGATCCACTCGAAAGATATATATTTAGTATTTTCACCAGCAATTCTGGCGCATTCATCTATTAGACTGTCGATGTCTTTATTTCCACTAGACCATTTAACATAAATTCGTTTGTGATATAGAAAACATCCATAACAGGACCTATTTTTTTGACATTCGGTACATTTACTACAATCATGAGTATTGTGAACTGAACACTCATCGCAGTATTCGTATTTTTGACAGTCGTAACAGTTATGACTACAATCATGAATATTGTGAAGTGAACACGCTTTGCAGTAATAATCTTTTCGAAGATAGAAGCATTCACTGCGATTATGAGTATTCAAAGTTTTAGATGCCATCTTTAAGTTTATTAGTGATTATGACAGTGTTTTATTTATGTGTGTGAAAGACATCGTTCACTTCCGTTTGTGTTTGTATTGATTTATGCATGAAAAATGACACAGGAATACTACATTCGTTAACATTAAACGATGAGAGACAGAACGCATAAAAAGGAAGGCTTTTATAACTTCTATTGCTGTGTAACTAACAAAATACTCTTTTAATATGTTGTAGACATAATACATGTATATGTCATTTAGTGATAAGAATAGTAATTACATGTATATTATCGTTATTGTCATTTATTTTGATATGCCATCTTTGAATTTATTTTATTAGCGTTAGCGTTAGCGTTAATGATTATTTATTTAAAAAACGATGATTGTATTGATTTATGCAAACACTACGAACGCCCATTAAACGATGAAGAGTAACATGCATGAAAAATGAGACAGAACGCGTAAAAAGAAGGCTTTTATAACTTTTATTGTTGTATGTAGCAACAGTCAATTTTTTAGTGCAACTTGCGGTGGACCATAATTTTTATTTACCGTTAATTTTTTTCCACGACCTTATGTTGTCTAATGTATAATACGTACATGTATAAAGCGAGAGAAAAAATTTTTTACTTTCCAATCAAAAACAGTCTTTGAATTTTAAGTCTTGTATTATTTTTTCAGAAATACAATTAATTAACTTTGAAATGTAGAATAATTATTATAAAAAATTTAGATACTGCACAGAGGGATCAACTAAAATTAGGATAGCCGTTAAATATTTAAAATAATCATATTAAATTCTACAATATAGTGAAATTTTGGAACACTTCAAACACAAATGCTTATTTTACAAGCTTTGAAATATCATTTTCTAAAACTTTCCATTCGTGAACTTTGAATGAGATATTAGCCACGATGACAAATTTATCACAATAAATACTAACAATTACAAATGTTCACCAGGTTCCATTTTACATATTTGCAAATTTCATAAGTTTTGAGCATTAATCCGTGAACTATTGTGCAAAAATGCAAAAATATTTTGAACTTGTGATGAGGTGAATTTATAACTATGAAAACCCATTCATTTTCATTTGCTAAATTAATGATTAATGATTATATTTAGAAGTTGGTGCATATTTTTAGTCAATGGAAATGACGATGGTTTTCATGATATAACCTCTGTACTGTATATGTAAATTCATCTTAAAAAGAATTTTACATTATACACAATAGCTCATGGATTAATGCTTAAATCTTTATGAAAATTTGCAAATATGTAGAATGGAACCTGATGAACATTTTTAATTACTAGCATTTATTATGTTAAAATTTGGCATTGTGGCTAATCTCTCATTCAATTTCAAGAACGAAAGTCTTGGAAAATGACCTTTCAAAGCTTGTAAAATAATCATTGGTGTTTGAAAGATCGACTTTTCATAGTATGTACATGTACATGTACATGGATCATATTTTTAACGACTGCCCTAATTTGGTACATAGCGATAGCTGTTTTATAATTTTGTATCTCCTCTTTCTATATTAGGGTTATTTGGTAAATCATATCGTAATTCGATAGATCTTACCTTAAACTTTCAAGTTACGATTTCAGAATAGATTTATTCACACAAGAAAAAAGATAGCCCTGAAAAATTTTTTTATATTACATATCGATATAGATTTGGCTCTTATAATTTCCACGATTACATCTATCGGTATTAATATAGAAAGAGGAGATACAATTTAAAGGGTACAAAATTTGCTGTGACTAGATGACGCGAGAGCTGTACAGTATGTTCAATTTGTTTTTTCTTATGTGATTATTGCATATACGTAATATTATAAAATTCCTGTTGACTTTATATCATTAATTTTATAAAAGCATAATTCTTTAAATTATCGGAGAAATATTTTGGAACCTCGCATTTGTTTTTCTGTTTATATAATCTTCCAATAGACAATACTTGAAACGGGGAATTCGAAAATTGAATAAGCTTATTTATCCGGCTCAGGATCTAGCATTTACATATTCAGAAAAATATGTCAACATTTAATAATTTTCAATATTTATCTATAATAAAAGTTATTAATTACAAGTTATAAATATTATGTAAAAATTCTAAAAAGGCATTCTCAAGAACTACTGCATGGATTTTTATGTTTTTTGATCCTTTTAAATCACAAAGATCTTGAGAATTCCAAAGGATCTTATTTATAAATTTTCAAATATATAAGTTTCCACTTGATTTTAAAAAGTGTCCACAATAGTATCTAATTTCACATACAATTTTACCGAAACTATATGCAAATTTGAACTAAATAAAATAAATCCCTCCGAGCCGCGGCATTTTGGAATTTCTAGCAGATAATATTAAAAATAAAAATTCACGGAATTTCATTTTTTGTAATCCATAAGACAAAAAATGCTAAACATTGAAACATATCTTTTAAAGATATAGAAAATAATAAGAATGACTTGATAGTTAACAGTATTTTCTAATAAAATAACAGCAAGACGCAAAAATATTTAAGACAGAATATTTATGACTAAATAAAATAGTCCTTGTAGTAATATATCATTTAAAAATTTCTTTTTTTTATAAATTGAAATATTTTCTTATATCAAGGGATTCTTGTATTAAAGTTTCTTGTATTTCGTAACGTGTACCTTTGAACAATAAAACACATCAATTTCTCCAGATTTTTTTTAACAATGAACAAGATAATATCGAGCAGCTGAAAGAGAGTAGAAACTGCTTCGATAACCAAATTTGTTTCTACCACAAGGTTGCTTGTAAGTAGAAATTGTCTCTTTCAGGATGAGCCGTATCAAGTATATTTAAAAACCCCTTGATAAATTAATACTAATTTTCTGCAGAAGCCTATCCTGCGGCAGCTTCTTATTTTGAAAAAAGATTATATGAGTGGTGCTACAACAAACGAAGACAAAGTGAATTTGAAACGTTATTTCCAATACTTGTAATAAATAAAAGTTTGGCATATTTTTTGTCCGTTTGAAGAAATGGTGTCAACGTTCGCCATATTTAACATTACCATTACCTGTAGGTCATTATCTAACAACGATAATAATTTATCGTTATCGTTATGAATTTTCTTATCATTATTGTTATCATCATGTACATGTACGTAATGCGTACTTTGTGCGTCATTTGACATGTGTCACAATCGGTTCATGGAACATGTATTAATAGTACGTACTGGTACAATTAATGCATGCGTAATTCGGATTTTAAACACATAAGCGCAAATGATCGCACCACAAACATGTGGTTTTAAAATTCTTAGTCTAAATTATCACGAACAAAAGGAGAATTAGTCGGCTTTTAGAACAATTTATATTACCGTTATATTATAGACTCAAATCTAAAATATTTAGAAGTTCCAATTACGTATACATGTAATTTATTTATCAAAAAAGTTGTTCAGTACGCTCATTTGAAACAAAAATGAAATTAATATAAAATATGTTGATTCTGTGGCACAGCTCACAAAATTATGAAACACTTTCAACTACAAAGACTAGACAACCCATTATTTTATACCAAGTACCGAAAAAAGTTTTTTATTATTCTATTTGTGAAACAAACATTTAATTTTATCAGCCAGCAACATTCGATTATCTTCTTTGTCAAAAATGGTTGAGTAAGAATATCGATATTAATTCATTCACCGCATGTTATCAGCCCTCCACATTTCTGGAAATCCCCAAATAATTCACAACCAAACGTGTGTATTACGTAACTAAAGCCAAGTCGTCAAATCTGGAGAACTGAACAATCACTAAATAATTATATTAGTAAATAGCAAAGAATAATGGATTCAGTCCTTTTTCAACCACTTGGAGCATTCAATCTCGAGACACGCGCTCAAATCTATTTTCGCGTTCTTTTTTTGTGATGGCACACCCAACTCCTTTTGACACAAAACAATTCGATTCTATTATTCAACTCTTATTGTATTTTTTTGTAATAGACAAATTTTCAATGTTTTGAGTATAAAAGGACACTCGTTTTCAAATCCGTTTTTTTAATCATACATAGGTCAGGAACCTTGCGCTATACATAAGAAAACCCGATAATATATTTTATTTTTTGTTGGTCTGCGATTTCTTACATAACCTTTTCTATACTCTCGTTATTACTATTATTCCTTTTCATATCCCCTGGTTGGGCAATACAATTATACTGGCTATAAAAATAAACATGAAATTCCTAACATCGCTTGCACTTTTTGCCGCTATCTTTACTGCATCTACTCATACTGTCGATGCTCACTCATCATTACTATTCCCGCTTCCACGGTAAATATATCTTTATGTAAAGTTTTCGAAAGGGATAATTAATCCCATATATTTCAAGCTGACAAAACCCATTAACTTTTTTATGACAACCAACAGAGCACACCCAAAAAACCCAAACGCAGCAACAAAAGACTTTGCATGCTTAACAACCCCACTAAACGGCGGCCCAGGCTGTGCACCAAAACCGTTTCCATGCGGTGGCTATGCACAAGATACCAAAATCACTCAAGTTCTAAAAGCCGGTCAAGTAATCAACGTTAAATTCTGGAACCCGAATTTCCCAGACGGCCCGAAACCAGGTGACGAATCACGTGATCAAGCGCGTCACAATGGTGGTCTGTGTGAATTTGCGTTATCATATGACGGTGGAAAAACGTACACGGTTATTGCTACTTATCATCAAACTTGCCCAGATATATTTTTCGATTGGAAAGTAAAGATCCCAGAGAATGCGCCATCGTGTGACAAGCCTGGCAAATGTATTTTTTCGTGGTCGTGGATAAATGCCGTGGGAAATCGCGAGTTTTACCAGAATTGTGCTGATGTGAAAATCGTTGGACACTCTACTAAACCGTTAAAGATTATCGATATTACTCGTGCTAATTTGCCGCCTCAATTCCCGAAAATTTTGACTCCTACTGGTGATCCTAATAACAATGGTAATCTGAAAGGATCTGGTCCGTTGGCATCTGATGTTTCTGCTAATCTGAAAAATAAAATCGGTGGAGGCAAAGGAACTACGGCTTCAACTACGGCTTCAACTTCGGCTCCAACTTCGACTCCAAAACCAACTGCCAAGAAATCGAAAGGTAGTGGTAAGAAAGGTGGCAAGAAAGGTGGTAAAAAAGGTGGCAAGAAAGGTGGCAAGAAAGGCAGTGGCAGTTCATCGTCATGTACCGATGGACAAATGACATGCGTAAAATCCGGTTCAAGCGCTACCTTCAACACATGTGTTAATGGGTCTATCGTGGCTAGACAATGCCCAAGTGGTACCGTGTGTACGACAGTCAGCAGTTCGATTCAATGTGCACGATCTAGTCGTAAACTCTAAAACATTTCATAGATAATTTAAAAATGTATATAAATTGTATTGGAGAGTAAACATGTATCGTAGTAGTAATCTAATGTTCTGGTAGCATTGAAAGATTTCGTTAATTGTGTTATTAGAAAATCAAAGACTAGCAAATATATTATGTACTGTATCATTACGTATATAAAGTATATTATTACCAATATATACTATTTTAAATTTATGGCGAAAAATTCGTCTTGTCTGAAATCAACACGCGAATTCCTCAAATATCGCAAAACTCATCTTTTATTGTCAATTTCCATAACGTGATCACAATACATGTACAAGAATCAGTAGTACACGTCAGACATAATTTTATTTACAGTATATACAAAGCATGAATGCGTAGATAGATTTTTATTCTCAACAACAAAAAACTACGAATTTGTTGATAAACTAAAGAGCTAATGAATCAAAAATTATTATTAGACATGAAAAAGAAGAAAGAAGTAATGAATGCTATTCCCATCGAGGTTATTTATGATCCCTTTCCAAAATAAAAATTCTAGAATAATGCCAATGATCCCATTCTTACAAAACAGACTACTTTATAGGATCATTCTATTTCTTACTCTGCTTCGTCCTAAGCCTGCTGAAACTCGACCTCGTCCTAAACCTTGACCTCGTCTTATGGCGTTACCACGACCTCGACTTCTACCTGTGCCCCTATCACCTCCAGATATAATCACCGATCTTCCTCTCCCTCTGTTTCCGTTATTTGTTATTTCTATTACCCTCACCCTTTTAGCTACGCTTCCCGTTCCTTTTTCACTTTCCTCCTCATCAGATGATTGTTGTTCCTGCCGAGGTTGTTCTTGCTCACTATTACCTTGCCTCTCGTTTTGAGCAGCGGCAGCATAATGCTTTTGTAACTTTATCCATTTTTTAATAGCTTTAATCGCGCTAGGACTTTTAGGAAACCGTTCGCGACGAAGTACATCTTGAAACAAATGGCGCGAGAATTTCATTGGTTCGTCTCCGTCTCCGAGCGCATGAATTTCTTCCCATACTAGCGTGCTCCAATTCCGTTTTAATCCTCGAACGTGATTACGATAATAGTATAGAAATTCATCAATCAATTTTAACTCGGGAAATGTCATCGGGGTGCATGTTCGTAGTCGGTAAGGTTGAACCCAATGTAGTAGTACTTCCTTTTTTTTCTTTTGTGGTTTTGCTTGGTCAGAGCTGTTGGAATCTCCTTCTTCATCGTTCGATGACGACGATGACTGATCCGACAAACAAGACGATAACGAGGATGATGCTGATGAGACAACTACGTGAATCTTTTTTACTTTATTATTACTATTCTCATTACTATTATTATTATTATTATTATTATTATTACTTGTTTTATTTATTTTATTCACTTTACTTTTTTGGTATGGTTTTTTTGGATTGTATGGGAAATCAAATTCTTTTATTTTCTGATTATATTTACGTTTACGAGGGATATTGAAAAATCCTTCTTCTTCACTTGCACTGGAGATCTCTTTCAAACATTTCTGATTTCTCGGTCGGAGGCGACTAGACCATTCCTGAGTATTAGATGACACATCCGAATCCTGACCTGATTCGTCTGTTTCTTCTGGTGATTCGGACTGTTCAGATTGACTCGTTTGGCAATTAGCCTCAAAATCATCCGCATGACTCATCAGATCGTTATTAACTTCCAAATCGTTATTATTATGAAGTGACTGATTCGGCAGTGAAGACGATTCGTTTACGTATGCTTGGCATTCTTCTGCTGTTATTGTTACTGCTTCTTTACTGTACACTTTTTGGTCTTCGATTTCTTCTTGTTTTGAGAGATAGTAAGGATCGGTAGTAGCGGTAGTAGCAGTAGTAGGAGCCATGCTAAGATTCATCAAGATAAACGCGGTTCCTAAAAGAGTCTTGTCTTCTTGATCACAATCAGCCGAATGCAACAGTCGCGCGTTGTTGCCTTCTTGTTTTATATAATATATTTTTTGATCTTTTTTCGACAAATTCATAGTGTCATCCTCGTCTTCGTCTTCTTGATCATTATCCGTGTTTGAGACCCAAGATCTCGCGATAGATTGGTTTGTTCCGGAGTGATAGGTAGCATCTGATTCATTGTCAGCATCGACATTTATAGCGTTGTCAGATGCTTCTGCTGGCGTCGATGACTTTTTCTTTAGACTGTGAGATCGGTGACGACTATGAGATGATGAAGAGAATATAATATCGCGAGAAGCCTCTGCGTGAAATGGAGAACTTATCACGTGATTGTGTGTGGAATCGAAATAATATATTTTTTGATCAGTCTGATTTGATCAAAGAAAAATTAATTAATTAATTAATTATTTATTTATTTGTTTATTATTAAAGACATATGTTTCATTTCTATAAAACAAAAAGATAGTCATGTATATGAATCTAAATGTTCACTCACCGTTTCACCTGTCTCAACTGCGTTATTAATAACATGAATGGAGTTCCCCACGAGATTTCTATTGTCGTCTTGACGATAGGAAGTAAAAGCATGCTTTGAATTTGAAACGTAGTTCCTCACGTGCATGCCATTGCCGTCTTGACGACACGAAGCAAAGAGTGTTGTTGCTGTTGAATTCATTTTTGTGAATCGCTCTCGCTCAACCGTTAAAAAATCACGTCCACTTTGATGTCGTTATTTATATCTTTGTATTTATTGTATATCTTAGAACATTCTGTTTTTCAAATCGCGTAAATATAATTTTTGGAATTGGCTCTTGTCCAAATATCCATAAAAAAAGTTGAGGACAACGAAACAGTCAGTTAATCAAGGTACTCCTACCAATGATGCCCTTGTCAGTTTTGATGTTGTTGGTACATCTTCCACTGCCGCCACTATTTTTTTTATAAGCTGGTCAGGTGCAAACAAAAAGATGATGCAATATGCAGCATGGGTAGTTAACTGAATGATAACTTTACGTATGTAGTTAGTGTGAATTTTTGTTGGCACGTAACATCTTCCTCATTCACGTGAAATTTTACATGTTAGCTGCCAATAACGGAGAATCTAAATCGAAATTGAACTATCGCTATATACGTATCGGTTTGTATTAACGTTAACGTTAAATTGAAATCACATAATTCTCAAGAGCTACATCGTGAAACATCATCACAAAATCGTTAATGTTAGTGATAAGGAAAGAACATTTGCTTGTTATAATGTTCAAATGCTAGGAAAGTTTTGTAAAATAATGATTTAACAGTGAATAATTGATCGGAAAGCGTGAAAATACTAATTATAAAAATCCTTTTACAACCCACGTATCTTCAACTGCATAAATTCTCTGGTTTCTATTTTTATTTCCACCTCTATTTCATCGCGTCGTCAACGTCATTTTTCATTTCATCTTTTTTATTATCATTGGTATCGTTGTCATCGTTGTTGCCACCAATGTCAACATCGACACTTAGATTTTATGCAAAGCTTCTGATGGAAAATGTGTCGACAGCCATTTCGATTTTAATACCCTACCTAGACAAAAAAAATTTCTTCTTCAAAGTCACTACCTAGATAGCAAAACACAAAGTCCAAGAAATTGTTGTTGGTGTGGTTATACTTTGCATAATTTTCTCGTTGTCATAAAGGGACCATATTTATTGCCATCAAGCTAGGGAAGGTGGTTTTCTTTAAGAACTTTCTGGATATCGTCAGTAACTTTTGTTGGAAATAGATCCATGGCATAATTGAAAAACAAAGCATTTGCTGAAACAACTTTGCTTTCATGATTATATCGCAAGTCAATTCCTTGATACTGCTTACGAATATTAAAAATGTGGATAAAAATTACACATTGCCAGCCAGATTAACAAGTATGCTGCAGTCAAGGATCCTTGATTGAGAGTATCTATACCTTCTGCGAGCATTAGAATACTAGAAATTAAAAATTTCAACTAAAGTGTTGCAATACATTGGGACCAATTTTATTGTAAAAAATTGCCATCAACAACCATCCAGTTTTGTGGTAACAATAAATTGCTTCTTGGTCTTGAAAAAGGATGTGAGAGTGAAATGGAAGAAAAATTTTGCCGATAATTTTCTTCCTTGTATTTAAATCACGCCAATCAGGCAGTCGAACAATTGTTTAAATTAAAGTCGGTTAGTTTAGAGGCAGTGTTAGGTATTTTTCAAAAATATGATGTCCCAGAAAAATTAAATGCGATTCAGTCCGACTGCTGATGCTGCCATTGCTGGAAAAGTCGCGTTTGATGGTATCTATTTTATATTTGAGGCATTACTGTCTATGTTCAAGGTTCAAGTTTATAAAGCAATTTAAAGATTTCGTTCAATTTGTGATCCTTTAATACTTTCCAAGGACCACAAATATCAAAAGCTTAATTTGATATTGAATAAATCCATTAAGAAGGGAGGGGCGACTTGTCTATTGTTCACTGATGTGGTAATTTCTTGTCACAATAATCATCAATTATAGAATGAAACATGAAAACCATGCAAGAAATCATCGGACCGGGCATCGCAATTGCCAGTCGAAAGAAGCAATAGAAAGAGGAAATATAACTAGGTAGGTTTGGCGCGGTTACTGTTTTTTTCGAAAAAATGTTACATGTGCATTCAAATTATCAAACGCGCTTAATAACAAAAAATCACAAAGCTAATTACTACTGGTCGAGTCTGAAACGAATTTTTTTATCAAAAAAATAATTATTGTTCATCCTTAAAACCCAATATATTTTTTCAATGCTCACGAACAACCTTGTTCACAAAATTTGTATAGGAGGGGCGCACTCAACCACAAAACTTGCCTTATTTTTTTTCGATCATTTTTGGACGCAAAATGAGTTATTGCGAGATTAGCACCGGATGCGATATTGTTATATTATACGTCTTTGGATTGAATTTGAAAAGAAAATTGAAATCCGCTTCATTTAATGCGAAAATGATGTTCGATTACATTAATGGCCTTCCGATAAATTTATATGTCCTAGAAATAAGCAAACACATAAGCTCTACGGAAATTGCAAGGAATGGTACGAAATAGCGTAGTATGATATGTACAAGCACGGTAAACGCGACAAATTCCGTAAGCATAAATATGTTTTTGGCTTTTAGCATGGAACCACGCGCATAATGCCCGAAATGTGGCTATGTATACGTAATTTTTCGCGTTCCCATACCATGTCGGGTCATTCCGTGCAATTTTCGTAGACCTTACGTGCTTGTCTTTCTCTTGCAGCTTCATAATTCTTTAAACATCTTTATTTTCGCATAATTTTATCTGTCATGTATGCATTTACGATTCCCAAGATTTTTAGTTTCCATTTCTTTCTACCATCGTCGTAACGTTCATTATTCACCGAATGGAAACATCACATTTAATGCGAGAATTGCAACTTTTATTTTGGTGTTTGATATTGAATGTTCTGATGTTGTAAGAAATCTAATTTGCTTTGAATCACGTAATGATTTCAGCATCCGCTAATTGGCAAGATAGCAGCGTTAAAGTCAAACTACCCAAGCTAATAAAATTACTAACGAACAAGATCGTTTAAAAGGATTAATTGCTACGGAAAAGGCTGCCGAACGGCAGCAACAGCAAACCAAGGCGGAGTTATTAGTTAAAGGAATATTGTTCAGGATGTTCGACTGCATTTTATCGCTCTTCAGTATCTTTTTAGACTGTGATATATTTACGTATTTTCTCAATGATTTTTAAACCGCTACAAACGTTATCGTTAACTTTCATGTCGTCCGACTAATAAAATTTTGTATACAAGTCATAGTGAAAGTTTTAGAGCTCTCGATATGTATGTTTGGAGCATTTTTATGTCAAGTCATATGTTAAAAGTTATCTTTGACATCATGGGAGATAACTAAGAGTTGGTGCTGTTAAGAAAAATAAGTGTTGGTCAAAGTATTCAAATACACTTAATTATGGAAGGTAAAAATCTGATATGTTTGCAAAGGGTCACTTTTTACAAACATGTATGTAAATGCGGGATCCTTCGTCCGCACTACGTGTTTCACCTGAAGTTGATACTTCAGACATGTGAAGACAAAGGTGTGTTTCATAGGCATAATATCGAAGTATTTTTCTTATAGGGCACAAGCACTTTCTTTTAATGCATCATCTAACAATCCGCATTTTGTTTATTATGTTATAATCTATCTGAAGAAGCTGATGCAAATATTGCTCGAGTCGAGTAACAGATAGTCCAAGAAATGCAAATATTACTTCTACATGACAAATCAACAGTATAAAAGATTTGTAATACTCTATAATTGTATCCTCATTGCCAAAATGAATAAATTAAAATTTAGTTTAATATATTGTATAGTCTCCATGGGCAAGCTGGAACGAGGACGCGTCAGAATTCAAGCCCAAATGATTTTTAACCTCAAATAGCTGGGAACAACTCGCAACTGTCGAAGTGATTGTTCGCGTTGTTCTTACATTAACAATGAAAGTTCATTGGTTGTGTTTAACTTTCTTATAAGCAAAGAATCTTGGCAAGATATTCTGATTTTACGCAGTACGTTCATGTTGATATACATGTAATATTTGAGATACATGTACTAAAAGATAATGATAACGATAAATTTAATAAATTTAACAGCAAAAAATAAAATAATGCGTTTCTCACGCGTTTTTAATTTCTCTCTTCTCTGCAAGCTTTTGGCACCAATTGACATTCTTAAAGAACTATTGAACCACACACAAACATTTCGTTAAACGATGGTTCTCAACAACTTATTTCGATAATGCCGATTGGCATGATGCCAGTCATGCAACAAGGTATGAATGGTGATGGAATACATGTAAATGTTACATGTATAGTGTATGTAATTGAAAACGCTAGGATACAAAGCTACGGGAAACTATCGCATTGCACATAAACAATATTTCTGTATAATTGAGTTAATGTTTGACATATTATCGCGATAATAAGATTCAAAGGTTTCTGAATTCGTTAACTAATATATACTTAAATTCAATAATTTCTCCTGTGACTTTGTTCCACGCGGTAGCTTGTATTTCTTTTTCAGCAAACGTTAAACCAAACTCTTCGTCGCCTAATCTTTTTTTTTAAAAAAATAGAAATCATCAATTGATATTCAAAAATGAGGAATTAAAAATATTTATTTATTTACAGTACTTAAAGTTTCTTTGTTGCGAAAATTTTGAATGTACTTATGATCTTTGTAGATTGTGATGAAAACTTTTGATCTGTGGCCGCGATTTACTAGTTTAGCAAACTTAAGAATATGGCCAGCGGTAGTTTTCATTTTTTTTTTTAGGTCGATTCCATCTTTCTAGAAGGGAGAAACTTTGACACCATAAGTCAATAAACTTTACGACATTTTTATTAAACCCTAAATCAACAAAAAAGGAAATCTACCTTATTCAAAACATAACCTTCAAATATAAGCTTTTTAATACGAAAAACAAGATATGGATTTTCGGCGTTTTTGTTGCTAGATGCATTCAATTGATTTCGAATCAATCGAATAATTCGTTCCACGACACACGATATCAATTTAATAGCATTATATTGGAGCTCTAAGGTTCATTCTTCTTCCTCCATTTGATGTATATCCTGTCAAAGCGGGGACACACACTAAAATTTAACGTGACCGTAGCGCTTTTCTCTGCATTGCGTTAAAACCTAAACCACGACTTAGAAACAGAAAAATTCATTATCAACAAAGGTGCTCTCGCATAAGTCGCCTGCTCTTTCGGTAATTTCGCCAATTGATTATCAGGTAAAAGGGTGCGAGTTGTTGAATCTCAACCATCGACATTATTGAAATTATTCACGTGAGCCGTTGAGATCAATTAGTATTCCCATTAAATTTATAATTTGATATGGAGTATAATACATTACCTTTACCAATCTACAATCGCCTCCCAGAGCTGTTGGAAATCAACTTCTGCAATCTTCCTGATCCCGTTGATCCTAGCTGCATAGACACTGATGATGTATTTCAACGCTAATCTATCGTAATGATTTTGCTGACATAATAGAAAATAACCAATACACATGTTCTGCGTATAAATTTTTCCTTGTGATCGAAAAAATAACAACAATATAAAATTCGAATTCAATTATTCCCTCTAATCTTAAATTTGATGTTTTAATTTTATCTAATTCCAAAGCATGAATCTAACCAGAATGCAACATTAAAAAACACCAATAACAAAAGTCGGGTTATTACTAATTTTGGGTACCTTTTCAAAGATTCAAGCTCCTGCAACAAGAAACGATACAGATTCTGCAATTAAATTTACCAAATAATTGCCAAACAAAAGAGCAAATTAATAAATACGAAAAATTTCGCGTAATAAACATATATATTATGTCACATATTATAATATGCTAAAGCGAAGAGAAACTAATTTTTTTTTGAATACAAAATATTTCCAAAAATGTCATTTTTTGTACAAATGTGCCAAGAAAATATTTATTGGTGCACCTTCAATTTAACCACAAATTAGCCCTCAGCGGCTTTACGTGCATATTCCCCCTGAGATGTAAAAGTCTATGGTTTGATCTTTACCAATAGTCTATCATTGTTGAAATCAGAAAACTTTGCATACATTAATCCAACTCAATTTTGCTTTGGAACCAATTGCAAACCAAAATAAGTCATTGTAATGACATTTGATAAGAGTCGCAATACATTCCTAAATTTGGCTTGCATTCAAAAAAATCTTTCAGGACGCGTATAGAAAATTTTTGAATGAATTTGCGTAATACATGTCAATACATGTATTAAATATCAGTTTTTAATCCTAACGCTAATAACGATTGCTACAGAAACACTGTCGCACATAATCTAGTTGGCAAACAGGTTTTTGAACAATTTTAGTTAGATGGAATGAAAGACATTTGAAACGTGGGGACGTTGAACGCAAAAAATTCTTTATTTGCCAATTTATCGATGGCATCATCTACATGTATTAGCATTAGTATATCGATATTGCAATTATAATCTACACAAAACAAATAACCTACGAGAATTTCCATTTTTAATTGAACAAGTAACTTCAGATATTCATTGATGTGTTGACGTGCTTGCTCTATAGGTGAAACAGTACATATATTTTGTAAGATATATTTTTCAAATACAGTATTTGTATTTTAAGGTTTCGGGGAGGATATGAGGACCAATCACTCATTGGGAGGGTCTATTTATCCCTGAATATCGGAATTTCAAAAAACGAAAATTTTCACTTATCGTTATATATGTACATGTACATTATGGCGAGTACAGTATGTTACGTATGTCTATCGGAATATTTTTGTTATATACGTATGCAGTTTGTCGATTGGATTGTTGGATTTAATCTAATTTTGTCACGACCAATTATTTTAATCTACCCAAAAAGCAACAATCAATGATACATGTACCGGTACAATGTTTTCTGAAAATGTGTTTAGATTATTTGTATAAGTACATCTATCCACCAATCAAATTCGTAAATATTGTCAACTATAGGATCATATCCATGTATGGACAAGAAGAAAAAAAATCGGATAGAATACCGAAATGTAAAACAAATTACTTATTAATCAGCATAATAAAATTGTGCATACGTATTTATTTTACAAATAATTTGTGAGGCAAAGTTGGCCCAAATACATGTAGCATCAACCATCTTCGCATTCATCTCAATTGAAGGTCATTCATCTATCACGTACACGAACAGTAATACAGAAATAATGTATGTTTGTGATTCACCATTGGCATTAAGCATGAACAATCATTCGTCACCATCGGAGATCGCAACAAATTCATCCGTCGTGTCCGAAACATCAATCGAACAAAGGTTAATTATGTGTTTTGTGCAAAAAAATGATTTACGTACATGGAATAGAAGAGGTAAATAGGAGGTAAGAAACGGAGGAACAAGAATAATATTTCTTTCAAATCCTCAATCTCGTTTGAATCATAATTCAAATGTCATTTATTTATTTATTTATCTATTTTGTGATATAATAAAAAGAGGACAATTATCATTATGATTAGTATTATTATTTTTTGTGTTATGAAACAGAGCAAGGAAAAACTTGCATTTCAACTAATTCCAAGTGTAAAATTAAGGAACCGCCATAATTGACAAAACAATAATTTTTATTTGTTCATTTATACACGTACAGATATTTTATACATTTACATAATAAATTATAAAGTTATCATCTATGAAATTAAATCTTCCTGCAATCGCATAAATCATTCAATTCCTTGAAATGTTGTATCGATCATCCAGTAACATGGATAGACACGTAATTAACGCACAACAAACAATTGCTGCAACTTGATCTAAGACAAAGAGACGGTAGTGTTAATAGAACAACAACAATTGGAAAAAGGGGAAACAGGAACACAGAATACATGTACATGCATAATACATAAAAAACTCAACATAGTTTAAATTGAATATATACACTAAATGCATAATTTCCTATTTCAAACAAAAGACAGCAGGAGGAGGACTTATTACCACGCATCACGTGGAACTCCATATCATCTTATTTTCGCTTTAGTATAAAAAGAACTGATCTCGCAAAGTTTTTTTCTTCATCGAATAGGTCAGGCACCTACTGTTCATAATTACTACTGATTTTTCCCCCTCTCTCTCTTCTTTTCTACTTTGACACCCCAGGTTGGGTAGTATTATTGTTACATATTAGCTTTAGACTTTGAAATCAATTTGCTTTTTTCTTCGTATTTGATACTTTCTTCGAAAACACACTCAATCACAAAACAAACTATAATTCAACATGAAATTCTTGACTTGCCTTGCTCTTCTTGTTACCTCGATTGCTTCTGTGTCGGCGCACACCACTATGGGTTATCCATTACCAAGGTAAGAAATCATCCGGTTGCTCAAAAGTAAATTTACATGATAAACAAAAAAATTGACACAATTATATTTACATTAAAATAGAGGACATCCAAATAACCCAAATGCCGCAACAAAAGACTACAACTGTCTCACGACACCACTCAACGGAGGTCCTGGCTGTGCACCAAAGGCGTTTCCATGCGGTGGCTACCCACAAGACACCAAAATCACACAAACCTTTAAGGCTGGCGACGTAATAGACGTCAAATTCTGGAATCCAAACTTTCCAAATGGTCCTCAGCCAGGCGATGAATCAAAAAACCAAGCACGTCATAATGGTGGTCTCTGTGAATTTGCGCTATCGTATGATGGTGGTCAGACGTACACTGTTATTGGCACTTATCATCAAACTTGCCCGGATATCTTTTACTCTTGGAAAGTGAAAATTCCAGACGCTGCACCATCATGTGATACTCCCGGGAAATGTATTTTCTCGTGGTCGTGGATTAATGCTTTAGGAAATCGTGAATTCTATCAAAATTGTGCTGATGTCAAAATTGTTGGAACTTCGACTAAGCCATTGCCAATTATCGATATTACCCGTTCTAATTTGCCGGGAACTTTCTCGGGAGAAATGACTCCGCCTGGTGATCCAAGTAACAATGGTAACGCAAAAGGATCTGGACCATCAAGTTCTGACACCTCAGCTAATCTAGCACTGACGATTGGTGGAAGTGGTGGAGGAAGTAGTAGCGATAGTGGAAGTGGAAATAGTGGTGACAAAAGTAGTAGTGACAGTTCATCAAAACCCACAACAACAAAAGAAACAGCAACAAAAGATACAGCAACAACAGACACACCAACACCAACACCAACAACAGACACACCAACAACAGAAATAGCAACAACACCTACTAATAAACCTCACAATGGTGGTGGTAAGGGTCACGGTGGTAAATCTCATGGTGGCAAATCTCATGGTGGCAAACAACATAATCATAAAAAACCCACGAGCTCTACCTCTTCCAACCCATCTAGCACTACAATACCAGAAAGCGGATCATGCACAGACGAAGGAAAAGATTCATGTGCTTCTGATAAAAGTGGCTCCTATAGAACATGCGTCAATGGTAAAGTAGTCACCCGACAATGTCCTGGCGGTACTGTGTGTCATGCTTCCGGAGATTCAATACATTGTGGAACTGCATCGCGAAAAATTTAATCGAGTTGAATTATTAATTCCTTTCAGTCATTCAATCATTCGTCAATTCATTTATTCATGAAAAAAGCAAAAATGTATTATATATTTTTATTTCATCTTTGAAAATCATTCATTCTTTTAAAATTTGTCTAAAGTCTAATGTTTATTTAGATTAGATTAGATTTTTTGTATATTTTAAAAATTGGGATTTGGATGGCGTGTGTCAAATGTAGATTTTTAAATTCTTATTTATGGGATGGGATGGGAAAAATAGCACGCGTTTCTTAATTATAAAGTTCTGGTAACTTTATATATTATAAAATGTACTTTTGTAGTAATATATATAAAAAATTTTGTAGTCAGTAGGTATAAATAAAAAACTGAGTCTTGATGGCTAAAAAACCAACTTTCTATTGTTAACAATAGCGATAGGTGCAATCAATTAAGTCACACAAATTTATGATGTTACTTCCACGAAAAGTAAAAATGCCAAGACTTGAATTATTTATCTTCGGAATTATGTTTCTTTATTTGTCATAGTCTGTTAATATGATTTTTATGTGATGTACGATATCGATGTACATGTATATTATAGTAAGATTTGCCTAGATTTACATTTGGGTGTTATTAGAATATCAGAATACGTATGTAGAATGCTTCAAATCATGCATAGATTTTAGGCCCGTTTATATATACAGTACGTATATATCGATTCATAATCAGATATCTGTAATTACGCTTACCATGTATTCCTATTAGTTTAATTAATATGAAAAAACTTTGAATATATAATAAAAAGAAGCAATACAGTCAACTCTCGTTAAACCGACTATAATTTTCTTCGATTTAATGGGAATTAACTAGGTATTTTAATTAATATATATAACATAGATAAAATATGTGACTGTTAACCTATATTTTATTTAAAGATACATAGTCGTTAAATCAAATAAAAATATGGTCGGTTTAACGAGAGTTGACTGTACTCTTAATAAGAAATATATAAAACATCTATATAAACTTTGAAGGTTAACTAGTTTACAGGAAATGAATATAATTCTTAAATTGTAGTATAAAGAGTGTAATTGTATCCTACAGTTTTTTTTTTGCAATTTATAAACTTCTCAAATCATGTATCTATATACGGTCTGTATATAAGATTTTTATATTTTATCGCATATGAATTATAGGGTTAGGGTAATGGGTCCTAAAATTTTTAGGTTATATATTCAGTCCCCACTACTATTTAAATTTGGAGTCCTGCGTTACAACGCCATAGTGCTATTTTATAACAATCATTACATGTATATATTATAATAATCATACGATATTGTAAATTATCAATAACGATAACTAAATAATTTTTTGATAAATAAATCCACTAACTGACAGCAATTCATAAGGACACTAAGTAGGTCCCATATATGGTCCTAAAGATAATTATATTTATCTAACAATAACACGCTTTATTCCCAAATGAAAAATGATAATTTATTGGATCACAAATTTCACTAATCGGGCCAACTTTCAAAATAGGATTCTACAATCAAATATTTTTTTTCGCAGTTAACTATTGTTTCTCGATTTGGTTCTTTATCGTTATTTAATATGTTATACTTAATATTGTTCGTAAATATGGTGGTTGTCGTTAAAGGCTTACTTCTAGTTATTCTCCTATTTACCGTTACTGTTTTTGCTACCATAATAAATCAGGCAGTTTGTATATCTTCCATTTAAGGTTGTTTCTTTGTTTGGGTGTTTAGTTTAAAGTCATCAAACGTTTTAAGAACATCTTTGCTAAGAAGTAAATACAAATTTAATCCGTGAATATGCTCGGAGAGGGCATATTCTATCATATTCACGGATTAAATTTTGTATTTACTTAGCAAAGATGTTCATATGCACCATACCCACATGGAATCAAAGAGAATGAGGATATCTTGAGTGTCTTACAAGAAAAACTATATATTCTTGATGAAACACCTACAATAAAATAAGACATTACTAGAGCAACATCGTTTGTTACCAAAAGAAATGGTAACTACTTTTACTTGATGATTTATTAGCAAAGAATCTGTATTTCGAGTTTGATACGACCAAAAGTCGTTTCCATTTCTTAACTTCGCTATATTTACACATTTATTAATTTTTATCAAAATTATTTCTAATTTAAACTATTACTTTAGTAACAAAACTTTTTGCAGAAAAAGAATTGGTTTACTAAAAAAAAATTGGACTAAATTAAGGTGGGGGACAATAAAGCTTTTTTTTACTTTCTTGATCTTAACAATTGGTAAAGTATACTTTATGAATCAATCGATGAATAATCATCTCTTCATTTGTTACATTGGTTGGTTTCGGAGTTGTCGTCGATTACTTATTATCGTTATATTTATTGCTATAGTTGTAGCGCTAGCATTATTCTATATACGTTCAGTACCCCAAAAAGTGTTGCCCGATTTGCGTGTCGTGTGTAATCAATTTTTAAAAATCAATATATACATCGACATGTATCAAGTTTCTCCCGGTTTGATAAACAAACTTGACATTTGTTTACTTTTTACAACTCGTCAATATTGTAACATATAAAAAAATGACGTCCACTCGTACACAGCTAAGCGAAATCGAAAAAGGGAAGATTCTGGCATACATGGAAATCGAAAATGCCAAATCGCAAAAATGCTTGGACGTGATCCCACAACAATACAGCGCTTTATTGTTAAGTACAAAAGGACAGGAAAAAGTGAAACTTACCTCGTTCTGGAAGACCACCAGTCCTTAATAATCATGAAAAAATTTACTCGTATGTAAAGTTAATGAAAAACGACATATACCACTCCGCGAACTTGTCAACAATTTAGTCTTAACTGTAGTCTGTCAACTATGATTGGACAAATATAATATTCTCTGATAAGACGAGCGTGGAAATTATGAAGCTATCATGACAATCAGGAATTTGGAGAAAGTTTTGATGCCAATTGCTTGGTGCCTACTTATAAAAGCGGATGAACATCTGTAATGGCTTGGGGGTGTTTTGCAGGAAGACACAAAGGAGCACTGGTATTTTGTGATGAAAACAAAAATGACAGTGAGAAAATAATTTCAGCTGTTTATCTTAGAATCTTAAAAGCTAATTTGTTATCATTTCATAAAGCAATTACAGTATTAGCTGGGAATTGTCTGAGTTTCCAGCAAGATAATGCGCCGATCCATAAAGCGGGACAAATCAAAAAATTATTCGTGGAAAATAAAATCATGAGTATCAATTGGCCAGCGAATTCACCAGACCTAAACCCAATTAAGAATATTTGAAAGATGTTGAAGGATAATGTTCAAAAGTATGAAGTCTTTTCGAGGTCTGAGGACGAACTTAAAATCACGTTAAAGGCGGAGTGGGAAAAGAGTTGAAGCCGTATTAAAGTCAAATGGGCGGCAAATAAAATATTAATTAAATATAATTTTATTTTATGCATAAATTGTTGAAAATAAAATAAATCAGGAATTTTTTGTTTAATTTTACATCTGGTTTCATCAACTAGTACCCTAGGCATGGCAAAAAAGGGTAATATCACGTGTTGATGGTGGCACAAACCAATAAAAAGGCGCCTGGCAAAACAAATCCGAAGCAAGAAAATGAAAAAAGTAAAAAATACGCCTATCGTAGATTTTGATTTGCCACAAGAAACATTAAATACTATTGAAACCAAACTTACACGCAAAGAGGTGTATGATATTCTTGTTTGCGTCTTTAAAGAAGTTTGCCTAGATATATTCAGATTAAGATTGTCATACTTTAGCTATTGTGGCTGCTGTTTCCAAGGTTAGTGGATCTTCATTGTTGACTTCCGGGGTCTGATCTTGTTCTGGTGGAATCATTGCTCAAAGAGACTAACGTCGAAGGATATAATCTTTCATACTCATCTGAGAAATTTCCCAATACTTTTCCATTAACGCGTGTCTCTTCATCGTCATATAGCTTTCACTGTTATCGTGCAGATCAAGATAGTCAGCCTGGAGCAAGAAAACCTTCAATAAAACTTATCATCAGCGAAACATCCTTGGATCGAGAAAATAAACTTCCAGACCCAATAAAACTAGATCGATCAAGAATTTCAGACCCTAATGATCACTTCATATGGGGTGATTTAATTGATATGTGTGGAACAAAAGAAAAATACACCCGTAATGCAGTGTATGAAGCTATTCAATCCAGACTGACACAAAATTATGGGTACTAAAACTTGAAGATTCTGATGGCGGTCTTTTCTTCAAGATGTCATCTAAACTAGATGTCACCAAATATAAAATCAATATAGTCGCAGTAAAATTAACCTCTCTGATAGATCGAGCAGTTCATAATGGAACTATTCACTATCGAGATATTGATTTCCTTTCTCCACCGAATACAAAATTCTTTAACCTTTTCTTGGGCCTTAATTGCAATTGATACTACTTTCATTGATCAGATTTAGAGAATGTCTGATATAATGGGGATAAAATCCTTTTGGATATGTCCTCAATTGGTTCTCATATCTCGTATAATATCCTGAGAAAACCTGTTAGGTTCATAATCAATCATATTTCCTTATGGCCTGAGGGTAAGGTTGATAAACCAAGCTGTGCAAATCTATATCAAGAATATCTTACCTGGTGTGGAAGTAATGACGAAAAACCATTTAGTAGTGCTATTCTTGGAAAGAAGTTTTTGCAAATTGGTATACCAATATATTCTCGACCGATCCAAGATTGTAAACAAGATACGCGAGTCAGTAGATGATTTCCTGATTCACCTCGAGCTAACTTACCTGTTAATGAGGTTACAGAAATCTCTGTGTTCGATATGTCAGAAATTTTACCCCAATCAGAAAAGGATACGTCAGCCTTGCCTAGCATTAGTAATGGAAAAGATATATACTCTGGCTTCGAATGTAATGAGAAGGCGGGTGGGCAGAATAATACGACCCAAGACCTTTTCGATTACATAATAGACCAGGCCGAATCTTCAGTTGCTTCGGTAACCCCAACTTCTAAGTCTTCCGAACTTCAATCATCTTCTGAAGTCATTGATTCTAGTAATGATTTCTTGCCCTCCAAGCTCACCGAATCTAGTAATGAAGAATCCCCTAAGCAGAAAACATCATCTCCATTATGTTCAGCCAGAGAGCAGCGAGAAAAGCGCCTCAGAAAATGGGTTATCGATCATGGTGAGGATCCTGATAAGTTCATGACTATCACTGAAAAGGACAGACTCGATTCCATCTGATTCCATGATTCACGAATGTGTGGTTATGCAAAGGAAAGGAGAAGAAAGAATTCGACGCGATCTCGAATACATCTTCATGGCTTGACACTGATGAGGAATGGAAAAAACGGTAAGCATACTCCAGAAAATAGTATGCTTTGGTAAATAGCGAACAAGGTAAATTTTATAGGTGGAGACTTTGTTAAAGGAAGATTTTTTGCCCTCTACGATTAGGTAATATAAAAAAAATCACGATAAAATTATTCCACCTTCTCATCTATGAGTATAAAGTGTTCTAATTATTCCTGGCGACAGCTAAATCTGAGGTACTAACACCATACTTCTGTCTCTAATTTAGCGAATGAAACCTGCCAGAATGTTTGGAACAGCATTCTGTAATAGAAGCAGTAGGTATTCCACAAACAATGCAGGAGTTTTTTCTATATTCTTTTCATGTAAACTCCAATGTCTAAACAGCCTGTAGATCGCCAGCATTTGTTCTTTTAATATGTGGGCACTAATGATACTTGATGACGAAACCTTTCGTCATGACCATTTTGACCAATAAAATACTAGCTCGTAACTCACGATGCCTGAAGATGGTGACCATTTTGGAAATAACGTATGCGAAAAATGCGAAAAGCCGAACATGGAATTCACCGATGATCAGAATAACTCTATTGACAATTCCACAGATGAAGCACTGGAAATTGAGATAGAGACTCCAACCAAACCTCAAGTTTCCAATGAGTCTGGCTCGAAAGCAAAGGAGAATGTTTCATCTGTAACTCAGGTAAGTATATTACCCACACCTCAAATACCCAAGAAATCTCAAATTTTGAAAATATTCGAAGCTTCTTTCCACTCCGGAAGAAGCTATCGAAAGAGAAGCGTGAAGAGATTATTAATGTATTGGTAGAGCACTTCGAAAAGCATTGCACCCTCAGTCTTTGACTTGCACTTAGTATAGATAAGGAAGGCGAGCATCAGATATATGCCTATTTTATTTTAGGTTTGTATTGTCTACTGCAGACAGAAACCATGATAGTTTGGCGAATTGATATGCAAAGTAGTAAAAATATTATTTGCTTTGTGGTTATATCAAAGAGCAGTTGATGAGGTGTTAGAAGTATATCCCGAAAAATCAAGTCTGGATCTCTGGAAGCATCTCCTGGAATTTACAGATGAAGCATAGCAGTAGAGGCGTAAATAAAATGTCTCAATAAAAATCCATTTAGCGAAGCTAGCATGAAGTGCTATTTTTTTAACCATGCATCGGAAAAAATTGCTAATGGTAGCTGTAAGGCTGTAGCACGTGGATCGGCAATTTATCATGTGATTATGACTTGAAACCAAAATCAACAAATCAGATCAATTCACAATGATGACAAGTTTGTGCGACAATCGATTTCTCATATATACCCAAGATTTTTCTCACGAACCAACTTAATCTTTTGACTAAATGCTCTCGACCTCCGTGTCTACAATAAATTTTTACAGGGTTACTTCGGTCCAAGAATGGAAGTGTACCAACTTAGTGGACTATTATCACAAGGAAAACATACTAGAACTATCAAAAATTCTTGACGACGTAAAAAAAACTTCAGAAGGTGGCAGATGTTAATTTGGGATTCGATGTGACACGTAGAAGAAAAGCTCAAGGGATCCTTAATAATTGGAAGGTGAGTTGATAGTCATTGTGAGATTTTAGTTCATAATAAGGAACGAGAAGGGCTTGAACTCTTTAACCTCAACTATTGGTTCGAGAGTGGTGTGAGCTCTTAGCTCGAAACTTCTTTTTATTTCCTTGGGAGGAGCTGAACTCTTAGTTCAATGGTAACCTTAACTCTTGGTTCAAGTGTGGTGGGCTCTTAGCTCGAAACTCCCTTTGTATATTTTAGTTGGAAACTTCTGGTAGTGAATGATTTACTAACACAGATTCTGTTTACCGATGATTGGTCTGCTTCGGTGAAGAAAGTATATAAGCCCCATCAAATACACAACAGGATTAGAATTGTGCGAGTTAAGCAACAGCTTGACGCGATTAAAAATTCTGCGGATCAGGTTGATACATTTCAGAAACAGTTCGTTGATGATAGTCGAAAACGTACTCCAGATAATGACGATCTAACGGATGAAGAAACCTTGATGAAAAAGGTGAGATTTGGGGCTGAAGCGAAAGACGATTCGGGTAATCAATTTAGGCAGTGTATGAAATTGATATGTACTTAATAATTGTCCCTATGGACTTTCATTGTGAAATTATATTTTCATCAGGTAACGACGAACTACAAACATCACCACTAGTTAATAATGAAACATTAACTTCACCACAGTCTTCTTCTCCTGTCGAAATTAAAAATAAGAATACAGAGGAACTTATTGAGTTCTTAAACAAACGAGTCTTACACTTGAATGAAAAACACTTCAAAATTTTACGCAAGCGAGAAATCACTGGTTGTGATTTTGTCAAAATGAACAAAGAAAATTTCAGGGAAGGTGGTCTTGAAACAGGGCCAGCGATAAGACTTGCGGCTGTTGCTAAGGAGCTCAACGACCAAAGTAAGTAGCTATAATATTGTACTATGGTTTTATCTCATTTGATAATTTACAATGGCTTATTTGTATTCCGGTAATATAGATGAAAATTCAAGTAACAAATTTATTAAAACATTTACAGACGGAACCCCTCTGACTGTTGCCGAATTTGATATGAATAAATTCCGTAAAGAACTCAATGGGAATCTCTATAAACTCCTCAATGATAATCTTAATGAGAACATTCGCGGTGAATTTCAAAATGTTAAGAGGGATATAAAAAAGATTAGACGTCAGATGGAAAAGATTGATAATACAGTGAAGTCTTGAACAAAGAAATGATATCGAAGGAAGTGGATTTGGCTACTGATCAAATTATACTTAATATTTGCGGTTTTTTACTTATTCCATTCGCCATTTATTATTACCATTCCACTCCACCTCCGAACATACCCACATCCATTATTAAAAGATGTATTAGTTGAACTTACAAACAAAAAAAAAATTAAAACGTAGCTAGTCAACAATCTTATTTTGTACTGCAAGAAATAAGTATTTGTTATTTGCTAGTTTGCTCACCTCAGGTTATCTATATGTGTATCAGGAAAATAAAAAGTACAAGATCACTCTATAAATGCTAACTTAATTACTTAAAAGTAATCGGCATGAGCATTGTTTACATTTTTTCACAATCTACAATTAGTAGTAACATTAACTAGTATTTTTCAAGATGATACTTTAATTATTGTAATTAAGAAATAGTATACAACACAAAAGTAGAGCTAAAACTAAATGATTTACTATAAAAGGGATTCTAAAGATCTTCTGTAATAGCTTTTATGAAACTAATTTTTACAAAATAAAAGTTGGAGCTTAAAAAGAGTTTTATCCAAAATAAAAGATAATAAAGATTAACTTAGTAATATTTAAATTGCTATTACAAAAATAATTATAATATCAAAATAATTTTAGAACTTATTGATATTGTCTAAAACAATAACAAAAATTAAATAGTATTTAAAACAAAAGAAATTGGACTTATTGATATAATTAACAAATAAATAATACAAAAACATAATTGACTTATTTATAATAAAGATTTTTTATTATTTGTATGCAAGCTTTAAAGTTAATCAATAATAAATAAGTATTTTACAAATAAAAACTTTATTATATAATTTAATTAGAATATATTTTTATATATACAAATTATTATTATTATATCAAGTACAAATTATTATTATATGATATATAAAATTTAAAGTTATCAAATATTTGTATTTTATAAAATATATAATTTTTTACTAAGAAATAAATACAAAATTTAATTCATGAATATACTTAAAAAGATCTATTCTATTATATTTATAAATTAAATTTTGTATTTATTTTTTAGTAAAAAAGTTTATATATTTTATAAAATACAAATATTTGAGCACTTTAAATTTTATATTGTTATAGGTTTGTTCACTAATCATCAAATTAGCTTACAAATGAGAACCTGGGTTGGGAGAGGGTATAAACTGATAAAGAAAATATTAAGAGAGAAAAAATATATCTAAGACCTATGCCAATTTCTACAGAAATTGTGTTTACTTAAAAAGAAATAATAATATGGGAGAGTTGTGGAAGAGTAAAGATCAAAGAGGAGAGAGAATAAAGGAATAATAAAGGATATTTGAAGGGGAATTCTATACTAGCGTAAAGCTTTTTGAACTAAAGATAATATGATTAGTAATAACAATAACAAAGACTCTTTCACTTTGTTCTTCTCACGAGTGAGAAATATTCGTTAACAAT